TAAATGCTTTTTAGAGATGAGTCACTGAATCACAGAAAAGAAAATGTGGGACTGCAGGAGGTCTTCCCGTTGAGGAAAGCTGAGTTTCCCAGAACACGGCTTGCAAACAGTTCAGGGGGAGGCGTAGGCAGCCAGCGGTAGCGGGGGAGCAGGCCTTCTGGACAGCCTGTGTCCCTGTGTCAGCAGTCCAGTGCCACCGAGGGGCCGTCCAGCTCGCCCACTTTGTGTTCCCTGCACGGAGCTCGCCCACGCCGCGCAGACCTCTTGGTGGAAAGTATGTGGAATCTGGGGACAGAAGACCTGGGTTCGAGTTCAATTTCTGCTTCTTACTCACTGTGTATTTTTAGGGCTCCCTGAGTCTGAGCAGCCCTATTCTCTCTGATGCTCTAGGAGAGTACCTTGTAAACAGGAAAATGCTATTTATGTTTGTATTTTCTAAAATTTAGTTTTCCGGGCCATTTCTTCATGTGAGAAGTGAGGACTCTTTTTCCTCTGTCAGTGACGCAGAAAAAGGAGTTGGACCATAAGAGCTGTCCCTGTGTGTATAGGCTCGCCTGGAAACACGGTCCCAGAGTCATTTTGATCCTTAATTCCCCCTCTTGTAGGTGGATGGACTTCTCTTCTACCACAAGCAGGCTCACTATAGCCCCGGAAGCACTCCCTTGGTGGGCTGGCTGCGCCCCTACATGGTGTCAGATGTCCTTGGCGTCTCTGTGCCGGCTGGCCCGCTAACCACCAAGCCAGAATACGCTGGGCACCAGCTCCAGCAGATTATTGAGCACAAGAGGAGCCAGGAGGGCACGAAGGAGAAACTCACACACAAGGCCTCTGAGAATGGGCACTATGAGCTGGAGCACCTGTCAACCCCCCAGCTGAAGGGTTCTCCCCGTAGCCCTGAGCACACTGGGAGCCTCATGGAGAACTAAAGAGGGCAGCCTCGTTTTAGGAATCACAGGATGGTACCTGGCCCCAGAAGGAAGACTGGGGAAGGAGGACAGTGACAACAGGTGACTTCATTTTAGAGTGGACTTTCCAAAGCCACTCTAGCTTACCTCCTGTCTGAAATGCTGGCTCTAAGAACTGGGGGGCAGTCCCAGATGGGGTGGCATTCGGATTGATTGGAACAGCTCCTTCCTTGACAAGTGTATCCCATATCTACAATGTAAATATACGTAATTCTTAAGAAGTTGTTTGTGATTCTTTTTTTTTTTCTTTTTTGATCTCAAGATCATTGAGTAAGTTTGTGATTCCTAAGCTTCTTAAGCTTTAGGCCACTGTGCACCTCCCCTCCGCACCCCACGCCCCAGGCTGCTTAAACCCTGACTGTTCAAGTCCTGGCCCATCTCACTCTTTCTGGAGCTCATTCTGCTGAGTTTCCAGTTGCTGCTGTTGGTAATGTCATTTTCTGCAAGGTCTTACCAGGAACTGCAGTTCTTGGTATTTGAATGTGTTCCCTCTTCTGAGAAGGCAAGTGTGATTTCTTTGGTTTAGACAGAGCCAGAGATAAAATGCAAATGGAGTTCATTCATTCAACAAATGTTTGAGCTCCCGCCAGGAGATAAGCCTTATGCTAGGCGCCTGTGATGCAGAGCTGGCTATGGAGGTAGACAGGACTCAGTGCCCGCCCTTGACGACTGCACAAGCCAGTGGGAAAATCAGCCCACCAGTATACAGAGCACAGCAAGATGGTGAGATGATTACTTAAGTGCAGACAGGTGCATAGAGCATGGCGGCCAGGAAGAGCGGAGGGGGGCTTTGCACAGGCAGTTAGAGCTGGGCTGAGGCTCTGAGAAGGGACACAAGTGTGCTCTGCAGACAAGGAGGGGAGGAGTTCCTCACGGATGCAGGAGGGCATGCAGCTGCACGCCTCTGCGCAGGGCAAGTCTTGGTCTGGAAACTGAATTAGGCTCGGCATAGCTCAAGTATAAAGTAGGATTAGAGACCTTGGGAGAGGAGGCTGGAGAAAGAGGTTTTAGATTTTATGTCATGAATGTAAGGGAGCCAAGGAAGAGCTTTGAGCAGGCATGGTCCTTTCAGATTTGTGAACTGGATCTCTGTGGCAGCTGTGGGATTGGAAGATGGTATCTGAGACAAATCAATTAGTTTTTGCCCTGTGTTCAGAAAATGGGTCCCGTTTCTGTGGCCTCAGTCTGCTCTCCACACTGCTTCCTATCGCTCCGGGACGTCTCTTACTGGACACAAGGACTTTGCCATTCCCCTTGGCAGCACTGGTATCCTGTGGACAAAGTTTCACAAGGATCTGGGTCAGGTCTTGTCTGACATGCAATTGTCCCTTTGTGTCGACTAGTCCTAGAAACAGATCTGGGCAGAAATAGTAGTTAAGCGGAGCCTCTTGACACAACTTCAGCACATCCTGAGGAACTAGTCTCAGCATTGGCTCTTGGAGCTCTCAAGCCGACTCCATAAAACTGGAGAAGGAAGAAACCCGCCCCACACTCACCCGGTGGTGATCCTGCTAGCTGCAGATTCGAGCATTTGCCTACATCAATAGACTCTTTCCTGAATTTAGGTCAATTCTTCAATAGGAACGCTGTGTTCCTCTTGCCAAGGAGCATGTTGTAGGCTGCCTGGATGTTTAGTCTCTGCCTGATCTGAGTGCTCTCAGCAGCCAACTGTATCCATTCAGGAGCCGTGCTTGCTAGCGTCCATAGTGAATGGGCCACACTCTGCTCAGAAATTAGATCTGGAAGGACTGCTTCCCCAAGGGCACTCTCTGGGGACAGATGCATGAGTCAAAGGACATATCAACCAAACTTACCAACAAGCATAACTTGAAAGTGTTGAATGGTAGCTTGAAGGACTTGCCTCAGAGCGCTCCTTACATTTTTAACAGAGGAGTCAGTATTTATCTGTCCATCACTGAATAGCAATGTGACTCTCCTATACTTCTTTAGGAATTATAAAACCACCTCTTGCCACCTGTTTCAAAGATGGTTGTTTTATAGCTTGCCGTGATTGGATATTAGTTTTCTGGCCAGCCCTCTGAACAGCTTCCCAGTATGGTTGGGTGGGACTATAGTCTGTGGTAATTGCCTTCCTTTAGCCCAATTTCAGGCTCGTGACTCAAGGTGGGCCAGTCGCATGCTCCTCACCAAGTACTTGTATCTCGAGCAGAGGAACAAAGAGGGTATGAGTTGGAATTCATTTATTTTGCTGGGGTGTGGGTGTGTGTGTGTGTGTGTGTGTGTGTGTGTGTTTCTTTTTCTTGCTATGAAACCCATGAGCATCCAGGAAATTCCATCTTGCTCAATTAGCCAGAGCTGGTTTCTGGGCTTGCAACCAAAGAATCCTAACTGATAACCATTGCCCAGTGTGGCCTGCCTTGCTTACCTTGACTGGAGGGCCAGCTTGGCATGAATCAGCAAGGAACTGCTATTTGAGATCACCTATTTCATTGCAAGTGCCACCAGAACCCATGTACCAAGAAAAAACAAGGCTTTTCAAGCAACAGATACAAAATAAGTTTGTTGTTTGTTTGTTTTTAAGAGATGGGTTTTCGCTATGTCACCCAGTCTGGAGTGCAGTGGCCATTCGCAGGTGCAATCACAGCTCACTGCAGCCTCGAGTTCCTGGGTCCAGTGATCCTCAGGCTCCCAAGTAGCTGGGGGGACTCTAGACATGTGCCACCATGCTCTGCTAATTTTTAAAAATTTTTTCAGAGACGAGGTCTTGCTATGTTTCTCAGAGTCTTGGTTATTTTAATGTTAGAAAAGTCATGCTGGGTTCCAATGCCTGCAATGGAAGAGTTTGTGTCAACACTAGTATTTGGCAGTGAGTAATCTACCTTTGTGGTTTCTCCTCTTGCTCACTTCTCATTCATTGTCTATCCACTTATCCACTGAAATCTTTTTTTTTTTTTTTT